ATATATATATATATATATATATATTATAAACTCCTTTTATCTATAATGTTTAACTTCCAACCATCACATAACTTTTGTCATAATGAGGTATTGTTCTCCCGTTTTAATTACGAGTGAGTTTGCGTGGGGAGGACTGCTTCTTTGTAGCGCAAGGCATACGCCAAAATGTTTTGGCTGAAAGCTTAAAGCAATCTTGAATTAGAACATTTAAAATCGCTTGTCTTTCTTACCTCTGATCCTTTTTATAATTGATTATTCCTTTTAAAGGTTAAAAGTAGACTTCCAAGGACCGTATTCCCTGATTTTCCTTTATTCTGATTGATTCATATATATTAGTAATATTGACTTGGCTGCACCTACAAATGGTAACTTTTCTAGGACATTATAGTTCAGATTGCTCCATAACTAAAGTTTATTGATGAATCATCATCCTTCTTGATTTCTTGATTGTGAGAAGTAATCTTGATAATTTTGATTGTAAGAGAGACTATATGATCAGTATTACGTTGATAATTAGGTTATGGTAAATAGTTTAACACTAGAAAAATATATTATTTTTATTACTTTCATGATAGTGAGAAATATATTTCTATAACTTTCGTTCATCTTTTTCAAGCAGCAACTGAAGTTAGAATCCGCAAACATGGCAGAGAAGATTCAGCTTCTTGAAATATCTAAAAGGTCACTCCTTATTTAATGCTTTCTTAATTATCCTACTCCCGCTAGTTTATCGTATTTCAATACCTTATAGTATAGCTGAGGTTTTACTGCTGCCACATTAATTACTCAACTTTTGGGAATGCTCTTTAGCATCTTTTTGAGCTCTCATTCTATTGGAGTTCTTGCCTGAAATGTGCTGCACTAGCGTCTGTAGTTCTTGGCTCGTCATTTGAAATTGAATTAGTGTTTTAGGAAGCTGCTGGGACAAAGTGTGAGTTGTTGTTCCTATGATGAACTCCAAGAAATCGAAGATCAGCTGCAGAGAAGTTTGCTAAGAGTCAGACAAAGAAAGGTAAGTAAACACCTAAGTTGAGATAATCAACAAAAATGAAGTGCTGTAGTTGCCTTCTATGATTAAATTAATGAATGAATTCAAAGGACATAATTGAGAGATTTTGATCTCGCTCATTCAGGCTCAACTATACATGGAGCAGATTGATCAGCTACGATCCCAGGTAACCCTGCTTCATTCCGCTGCTATTTACATTGAAACGCTTAACACGGTTACAGAAATCCTTTACACCTGACACATTTTCCCATTGAATTCAGGAGAGTAACTTGCTCCAAGAGAATGCCAAATTAACTGAAAGGGTAAGATTCTTATATTTTTCCTGGTTTTGATCCATTTTATTCATTATCCCTCATCTTCTATATGCCAAAAACAAATGAAACAATTTGATCCATTTTAGTTTTGGTAACTGCTTAATTATAACTTTTTGTTAATTCATTGAGATTGAGGCATGATATTTAACTTATAGTAAATAATAGAATTTTTATATTTTATGTTTTTAAATATTTTCTATCACCTTCAAAAATATATTTATTTTAAAACCCAATTTAATAATATAAATAAATGACCCGAGAGGATAGAGAGTACTGTATTCGTCTTGGATTTAATTTAATAATTTATCATGCTCTTAATTTATTGATTTCTATAGTTTTTTAATTATATACCTAATTTTTTGTTACTGATATAATCATGGTTATCAAATTTTGAGTTAACTGAAGGTTTTACGTTTTTATTAAGTTTTTTTGAGTTAACTTAAAAACAAACTTGTTTTTAGAGTAGAATCGTGAGATCGAAGGTGGAATTGGTAGAACCTGTGAGTTTTGCTTCCAATTTAGTGAGTTCAATGAGCAATTTTCTTTTTGATCTTTTACGAATCCATTTCACTGTCACATTGTCTTCGTCTTTCATTTAGTGTCGAGGAGTTCTCCTTGCTCCTCCATAACTTCGTCATGTATAGTTAAACTTACAATGTTGTCCTTTGATTTACATAGGAATGAGTGAGTTATGATTGAGTAATGATAGTGTTTGCTTTCTACCAACCAATTAAATGAACTTGTATATACGTATACTTGCACTCCCGGTGGTAGTCCCGGTGGTGGTGGTGATGGTTGTTGTCGTGATGTTGTTCTTGGTTCGTAGTGTTGTTCTTTGTTGAGGCTAGCATTCGAGGTAAGATTTATATTCGGAAGATCCTTAATTGGCTTTCAAAAGCTGGTTAAGGAGCCAACCAACGTAATTTTTGAAGGAGGGGCCTACGTAATTCGAATTACGGCAAGGTCTAGATTTTAAAAGTCGACGAAACCTTAACCGTATTTGAAAGTATGGTTAAAATTTTTGAGGTTCATTTTACATACATTTATCTATTAACGCTGACACATACATTTCAATCAAATACATTTATCTATTAACCATGACACATACATTTCAATCAAATCCAGTAGAATGATCCATACATTTTAATCCAAAACATACCAATGAATGAGCAAAGGAGGACAAGAGGGAGACTAACCTTTAGTAACGCAATAACAAGAAAAAAGACATGAGAGGAGATCCACCACATTACCACCAAGGAAGACCCCCACACCACCACCACGTTATCACACCCGTCGCAAAACCAAAAGAGGAGAAATGAAGTTGCGATGAAGGAGAAAGCAAGGGAGGCGCGAGGGAGGAGAAAAGAGAAATCAAGGGAGAGAACGCGTGGGAGGATAAAGTAAAGAGGTAAGGGAGAAGACGTGAGGGAGAAAGTAAGGCTGGAGTGTAAGGTTAAAATGCACAAAGAATCTTTTTGGTCAAAGATTCTTCTTCCAAATGTCAAAGATGCAGATGAGTAAAGTTGAAATTTTTAATAAAGTTGGAGGTACAGGATGAAGTCATGTAAGGCAACGCCTTCTTGGTGTCACTTTACTCACTATCTGTGCCATTTGGTTGTCCCTTGTAGTTGTCCAAGATTGTCATCACTTATTGTCGTTCTCACTATCTGTGCCATTTGGTTGTCTCTTGTAATTGTCCAAGATTGTCATCACTTATTGTCGTTCTCGTCCGATTATGGTTTGTTCAAGAGATCTTCTTATATTACCTTCAAATAGCATTGAAATATTATATTTGATGTTAAAGTTTTTGTTAACCATTTGGACCTATTTAGGCTTCAAAAATAGTTTAGATATGAAAGTTAAGACACATTTTTTTTATCATATTAAATGTTATATATAATTAATTAAAGTTATTATAAAAATAATAATTAGGAAAATATAAAAAAGTATTTAAAAATGTATAATATGATGAACTAATAATAATACTTCAATAAGAAAAATATAAAAATCATTTATAATAAATATCATATAATAATAAATTATTATAATTTTTATAAATATTTTAATATTTATTTATCTAAAGTAAACTCTTAAAACTCTACGAGTGTACATATTTGCACGAGCGTAAACTATCACGTCTAACAGCCTTAAAACTCTTAAAACTCACACATTACGTGTGTCTGCATCAGTCAGTTTTCCTCTGTCTTCTGTATATGTATCAGACTCCTTTGTTTACGATATACATGATATTATCAGCTTTTCTTTCATGCTTTCCATCTCTCCATCTCTTGCTCTGAAACCTTACATGGTATCAAGAGTTGATTTTTTTTCTTCTATATGACTTCTGCAGATTCTGGTGTTTCCCTTCACGCTGCCTCCTCTTTCTACTATGCCAACACCGCATACATTCACTTCTCCCATTAGTCTCAAATTAAATGAAGATAACTTCTTGGTTTGGAAACACCAAGCTTTAGCCACCGTTACTGGTCTGCATCTTATGAAATTTCTTGAGAGTTCTTCATACCCTCCCAAATATGTCACTCCTGATGCAGCTGCATCGGATGCCGTCAACCCCCTTGACCTCGATCACCTTTAACAGGATCAACTCATTGTAGCATGGTTGCTGTTCTCCATGTCCGATACAATGCTCACCAAAATTATAGGTTTAAAAGCATCTTATAATATTTGGAAAACTCTTACTGTGCATTATGCAAGTGAATCTCGTGCTCGCATAAAAAAGATCAAGAGTCAACTCAAAAGCACCAAGAAGGATAAAACTGTCTCTGCCTATGTTCTTGAAATCAAGAAATCCGTGTATGCGCTCGCTGCTATGGGGTAACCTATCACCGATGATGACCACATTGAGTATATTTTTGCGGTCTTCTTGACAATTACGACGGCTTCGTTACCTCTATTCTTTACCCTACACTGTTGAAGAAAATAAAGCATTTTCTCAAGAAGAGCGCCTTGAGAAAAATCTGAATACTGATTTGGTTGTGCTTGCTCACGTTCTTTCTACACTCGTTGTGCTACTTCTTCTAACCAACGCCAGCAGCCTAGTCAATCTTGGCCTCATCAACAATCTACTCCTCAAACCAACAATAGAGCTCAGTGCCAAATTTGTTCCAAGTTCGGTCATCATGCTCTTGAATGCTGGCAAAGATTCAATCAAGATTTTCAGCTTCACAACTTCCAGGTTTCGTCTTCTAGTATTGAGATTTATGATCAACTATCTAATATTTCTTCTTTGTCTGATCCCCTGTGGTACCCCGATAGTGGGCTTCACACCATGTCACAATGACTCCAGTAACTTCAATTCAAAATCCTCATATACTGGCTCTGAAAATATCAAGTTAGGTAACTGTGCAGGTCTGAAAATCACTCAAATCGGTTCCACCACTCTCTCTACCTCTTCTTCTTCATCCAGTTTTGTCTTAAACAATTTTTATATGTTCCAACAGTTATAAAAATTCTTTTAAGTGATCTCAGTTTGCACGAGGTAATCATGTGTATTTTGAATTCTTCCCTAACTTTTGTTTTGTTAAAAATCATGAAACCAAGGAGATCCTGCTCAAAGGCATTCCTAAAGAAGGAATGTATATTTTTCCCACGTTGCAGAGCAAGAGCTCTCGAAATCTCCCACGATTCATCACTCCACTCTGACTGCTGATCCGTGTACTTTTTTTCCTTATGGCCTGCTCGTATGGGTCATGCCTCTGTTCAAACAATTAAAAGAATTCTTAGTTAATGTAATATAGATGCTAAAGCTGACCTTGATTTCTGTGATTCTTGTGGTCGATAAAAAATTCATCAAATACCATATGTTGATTCCCAAACCACGTATATGCATCCTCTTGAATTAGACTATATGGATATTTGGGGTCCTTCCCATGTTTGCCCTTTGAATGGTGTTATTACCTATCTTTTGTAGATTTTTTTCAAAATACACTTGGATTTATTTCTTGCATGCTAAATCCCAAGCTCTTGATATATTTCGTAGGTTCAAACTTTTAGTTGAAAATCAATTTGGCTATAAAATAAAGGCTCTTCAAAGTGACAATGCTTGAGAATTTATGTATTTTGACACTTTCCTTGCTTCTGCTGACATACACCATCGTTATATCTGTGCACACGCACATTAACAAAATGGTAATATAGAACACATGCATCGACATATATTAGAAACTAGCTTAAGTCTCTTAGCTCATGCTGTTTTGCCTCTTAAATATTGGAGTTATGCTTTTCAAACAGTTGTGTTCATTATTAATAATCTTCCCCTTCAACTTTCCATTATCAAACACCTCATACTGTTCTTTATAAGCATGCAACGAATTATGATATGTTTCGGGTTTTTGGATGCACCTGTTATCCTTTACTCAGATCATACACTAAACACAAATTTGATTTTAAATCCCTTGCATGCTTATTTCTTGGATGCTCCTTAGTAAGAATGGTTTGTGTGTCTTCACCCAAGCGGAAAAGATTTATATTTCTAGTGACGTGTGGTTCAATGAAACTAATTTTCCATATAAAAACACTCCTAATATTTTTGAACCCTTGTTTTCATCTTTTACTCCCTCATCTTCTACTGTGTATCCATCCCTTCTATTGATGTCACACAACTTATTGTGGACTATCATCCTACCAATCCTGTGTTAGAAATTAATTCAATGAATTTGATTATG